GCCCCACCATTAGACTCCTAACGCAAACTACGTTAGGAGTCTTGAAGTAATATTTCTTCTAAGTTTAAAGCCTTGCATATGTCATGTGCATGTATTCCAGTGTGTCAGTGTGAGAAAAAAAAGATCTATTTGGTTTCAGTAAGTTTGAGCCTCATATAAGCTCAACTCAATAATTGAAATTCCAACTCAATTTAAGAGATTAGTTTAAACTTTCAATTAAAAGCTTAAATTATATTATAAGCAACTCTACTCCAATCTTTAGAAAGCTTGCAGCAACTTGATCAATTTACCTAAACCTTTTCTTTAAGAGCACAGTTTCTTAGCATCACCAAAAGCTTCTACAAATATCAACCACCATAGTTACAGACAGTACTCACAGGAGTTCCCTTTTAAACCTATACAATATTATCATTCCTGTATAAGCTATGATAAAACATAGCAGTTTTCTGATAAAGATGAAAAACTTGAGAGACATTTTATCCATACCCTTAATATAAGCTTATAGGTTCAATAAGAAGCTCATCCAAAAGATCATCCATTACTATATTCTCCAGTTCTCTTCCAATCTCCTCCTTATCATCCCTCAAATCTACCCTTTTCAGCGCAGTGAGATTTTCTCCAAAACTCATGTCCACATTGCTCATTTTCTCAACCACTGCCTGCCATACTTCCTCAACAAGGCCATCATGAACCATTTTGGATTGTGATGAAGTCTTCAGTTCGATGATATCCGCCAAAAGAGAATTCGTAAGATCGAATAAAAGTTTTCGATCCGATCTCGACCACGAGTTGAGCAACTTATATTTCTTCTCGAGCTTGTCGAAAAAGTTTGGACTGACTGGATATTCTGCAGTAAAGAGGGCATCCGGTTCGGGTTTAAGAATGTCGCCGTCGATGAGGATGTCAAGTACATATGAATGGTCTCTCTCCTCTTCGTCTCTAAATGCTTGAAGTATGCCATCATGCTCGGAGAAGGGCTCCGCTGCGGTGTCTTCATCACTGGAAATATGTGCTTCCATTTCTTCTGTGTGAGTGAGTGCTGATTCCTGTTTGAGAAGGCGAAGCTGCATCCTAAGGTCTGCAAGATAAAGTAGTTATAGAACAATTTGATGGTCATTTCAATCAGAACACGCCACCCAATTCTTATGTATTTACATATCTGACACCTAAACTTTAATTTTTACATTTATACCAGCCAAATCATTTATATCACAACAAAAATACTACCCATTTAACTTTTAAAAAGTGAAATACACATTCTCATGCTTAGGGAAGGTGTCAAGTATGTAAAAATTGAAGTTTAGGTGTTAGATATGTAAATACATAAGAATTGAGTGGTATATATGTATATAAATCTTAATTTCACTTACCCTGAAGATCTGCACTTATCTTTTCAAAGCAGCCAGTGCTGAACTCTTCTTCTTCAAATGGGGCCTCCAAAACTGAAACTGGACTTGGCTGATCAGCCTCCTTGTAACTTTCAGGACAAGCTGATTCAGAGTTATCGCAGTGAGCAGCAAGAAGTTGATCTCCAACATGGTTGATTAAGGGTTCCTAAGTGCACAGAAAATGTACATGAAAACCAAGAAATGGATTCCAAAGCTAATAATAATTTAATTAAAGGCTTTAATATGATGAACATTAAAGGAGATATTAATTAATTAGGAATTTGTAAGGGCTACAAGTTGGTCTGGAATAATTAGCCAGATGGTAAGTACACCACCAAGTTGGTCTGGAATTTGTAGGTGAAGGCGAGTGAAATAAACTGGAAGAAAGTACACTTCAGTATTCATAAACTAAATAAGCCCATACATTTTCAAAGATAATAAAATAATAATAATAAATTTGTTAGTTGTATTATAGGTCCAACCATATGTTAAAATGGTAGAGAGTTGATCTGATAAATTTAACAAAAATAAAAATGAAATTGAACCAAAATTAAAAAGTCCCTCCCTCTAAAGTGTAATCTTATGTTAAGTATTTGACATATTTTTAGACTTATTGGAATGAGTATAAAATGGAAGGAGATTTTATTTTTCGTTCGATTTGAAGTCAAAAGAATTCAATGTAAAACTAGAAGGCCGCGATGGCACAATAGCAAGGTGTAAACAGCGCAGGCGATGGGTAGGCAACAATGGCAGCCAACTGGCATACATTATATGAAGTTTGATTAAATTGGGCAAATTTTAAATAAATTTAAAAAGAACAAAAAGGTGAATTTTAATTACATTAACAAGTTACTTTACATTCATTTTTTCTCCAGTAAACAGCTAAATTTTGAAACCCCTAAATTTTTTTTTTGCTTTGCATTTGTTTTCCTAGTAAACCAAATAGCTCCTGATTTAAAGAGTTGAAATACATTATTTAATAGAAATAAACTGGTCACAATCTTCAGACACTTCAGAATTAAAAATAATGAAATCAATGATGTGATCGTAAAAATATTAACTAAAATTGCATCATATTTCCTATTCAAATTACAAAAAAAGAGGTTAATATGGTGTGATTATTGAAAATTAATGAAAGTTGAATCATACACTCATATCCAAATTTAAAAAATAATAATATCTTTAATCTATAATTATCTTTCAAAAGTACTCTAGTCAATTCAAAATTATATCACATGGCAGCCATAAAGCATGTGACAAGTGTCACATACAATTTCCAGGTACACTAGTTTAATATTATGAAGATCAGGGTCAAGGAAATAAAGGAAACATATTTCCTGCTCAAGAAAAGAATGAAATATGTTTTCTAATAGTTGCATTTCTATGGTTACACACTGAATCAATGAAAGTATTGGACAAAACAAACTACAATTGTGTCAAATTTATGTTATTATTTGCGTTCATTGGCCAATGAAAATAAGGCTCCATCGGAACTTGGAACGTGAGTTCAATATCACAATATATTTTGTAATGAACTAAAGACTAGTCTTCAATTATCAGTTTAGAAGTTTGGGTTGAAAACGGGCTTTGACAATATGTATAATGGTCAACCCTCTTAAAAAATGTATCAAAGAAATATGATTGTAAAATGGAAATTGCAAGAACTAGTCCCTTTTAAAAATTATATTATGAAAACAAGAAATTTAATTTTATTTAAGTTACTTTCTAAAAATACCCAATGAAAGTTCAAGGAATAAGAATTGAATTATAAGAAAGATTATCAGAAATAAATCAAGAATCTCCCCCCACAAGAGCTCCAAAATTCAAGATTGAATCATTAGAAATGAGTTTGCTGCCAGAAACATGTTCATACTGGATGGGGTAGAAGCTGAAGGTTAGCCAACCAAGCAGCACTTATTATTCCAGTCCCAATATGAATGGAGATGAGAGAACTCTATAATTATTCTTAAGCTAAAATAATTATGACAGTCAGAAGGCTTTTTTCTTCACACAGCTGTGATCAAATTCATATTAGGCATTCAAAAAAAACTAAGAAAAAAGCTAAAAGCTCACCTTTGGCGCAGGCTCATGTTCATCACACTCTGACAGTATCACATTCTTTTCTGATTTTGTATAGTCCTGAAGCCTCTCAAGACCATTTTCTCTATATGTTAAAGAAAAGTTGTCGGCATTACTTTGAGAAACTGATAGATTGTCATCCATATCCTTTATTTCACTAGCACATTCATCAGGGAGCTCAATATCTTTATTCTGCTTTTCAGGAAGGTGTCTCAAATCATTATTAATTTTTAGTTTTTCTGAACTCACATGAATCTCCCGTTCAATTAATGCATTTTCTTCTCCATCTGAATGATGCTCGTCATTTTTACCAACATATTTCAGGTTCATGAGTGCAGTGTTTTTCTGCCTCATGAAATCATTATCAAGAGGCACCCAGTTACTCATTCCTTCTACCTTCTTATGCATAATTCTGTCGGCACGGTTTCCCCGTCGATTTCTGGAGTTCCTCTGAGAACTTTCACGGATTAAAGATGAAGCTGGAAGAGATTTGGACCTTGGTACACTCCTAGAGAAATCATCTTTCCAACCATCCTTGCTGCTGATTCCCAAAGGATGATTCCTTGGTTCTATAAAATCTTGTCTAACAAACTTTCTTTCTGGGACTTTCTTAACAGCTGGAGTATCTAAAGTCATCTTAGGTGTCTCATTGTCAGATAAAGTTAGCATCTCTGCCAAAGTACTTGATGCTCTATTAGAAAACCCCATTTCCTGAAAGTGGTTAGTCAATTTCCATCTTTCTGAGATGCGTTTTCTAGCCTCTTTAGTGACTGATGACTCGGTTGGAAATGACAATGAATGATTTGAGTCATAGATATTAGAAGTCAAGAGAGAAGTCTGAAAGTTGTTCCCGTTCAAGGTGGTTGATGGAGTACATGGGCCTTTATCCTTTTTATAATCATTTAAATTTGCAACCGAAACCTTCTTTCTTTCAGAAGCAGAGCTCTTCAACTGATTGGTAACTTCTTTAGAAATTTCCCTTGACCCTTTTATCTTGCGCCCCATAATTTCTGCAGTGTGATACAACTTTTGGTGAGCTCTTTCTTCATTACATAACTCCATAATCTCATGAACTGGAAATTTTAAATTATTTGTAAGACTATACTGAAGATTATCCAATGAATTTGCCAAAGGGATGGTTCGTTCTGCTTTCCGAGCCTAATGAAGACTGGCCTTAAGAATAACTATTTGAGTGGGCTGGGCATAATATTCGTCTTTTTCAGCATATGTTTATTCTAATAACTTTTTCAGCAGAGAACACATATGCTCCCTAGATGGGTGAGTGTAGCAGTTAGCTGCAAGTTTCCTAAAAGATTCATTCTTTTCTGATCCAAAAGATGATTGAAAGCTTGCAGTTGGACTGCCTTTTGATGCCATGAGAATTGAGGGATAGATGGCTTGTGGAGGGGACGAAGAGCGAGTCCGGTCATGGAGATGCTTTGGAACTTTTTGAAGAAATGGTGGATAAATATCCATATCTAAGTTCTCTGCATCAAAATGTTCTTTACTTCTTCGAGGCATTCGTTCGGTTGAACGGCTTGTTGAATCAATGAAGCTCTGTTGCATAAAAATTTTATCAATTTTATGCTGTCGCAAGCTGGATGTTCCTTTCTTAACAATCCGGTCCTTCTGCTTCTCATCCTTTGGCCCTTGCTCAACCTCGCAGACGTCTTTAAACTCTGGGTGTTCTTCATTTTTTGACTGATATAAACAGTTAACATGGGTGGTGATCTTTTCATCGAAGTCATTGGAAAGCACCTTTTTTGAAGAGTTTCTCACTTCCTTTGGTGGTTTTAAGGGCTCAGGAGAAGGCAGTGCCTCGAGACCCATAAGCCGAGCAATCAAACTTGGTGATGATCGCCTTATTGGCTTTTTTCTAGACATCTCTTGGTCTATCAATGCTTTAATTGGCATTCCACTAGCTTTCTTAGAATAACTGCTCTTGAACTCTAGGGTTATCTGGTAAAAAAAAAAAGGAATACAAAAAAAAAAAAAATCAATCGTAGATTGCTGCAGTGTAGATAATACAAAATGTTTGCTTTTTATTGAGAAAAACTGAAAGAAATACGGATGAAAAGATTTAAAAAAAACGAAGAAAACAAGAATCCAGAAGCTATGCTTACTGAATTTGTCTCTTCAGCTGAGTCACATTCATAATTTGAATCATGTACCGTCCTCAATAATTTGATCCGGCTCTTGGAATGAGCATTTTCTGAAATAAAGGAAACGTCATAATATACAGAAACACATCAAAACATTTTCAGAAACAACCACGCATAGTGAAAGATCAGTTCTTTGAAGTCATTTATGTGCTTAATTTCTGATTATTGTCGAAGGAGCTCATTGCAAAAGTTGCCAGTAAAATGCGCACTTCTTCTATTAAACTTCTATAGAAAATTTCTTTCTATAAAATTGAAGCAAAAAAAAATTACTAAACATTTCTTTAACTATCTTGATTTTGTCATACAAATGGACTAATCAAATTACCATAAAAAGTCAAAGAATCACTATTTACCTACATCCCAAACTATTCCATCTATCAAAATTAGCAAGTATTTCAGTTAATTGATCCATTAGGCAAAGGATCATTCAACTCAAAGGACCTAGAAAGGAAAACAAACTTCTTGAAATTTCAGCACAATATGACGGTATTTCAAACAAACAAAAGTAAATTGCGACTGTAAAAGTTTTTTGCTCAACTTGGTGGAATTCTTAAATAGAATTGATGAAAGCAGACAAGTATTGGTCAATTCATCCATGCAAACTTCATAAGTTACATAATTATCTTAATCTTCCTGATTTTTAGAAAATGGCCGGAAATGTAAAAACAAAACAACGAAGTAATAGAATCTAACTTTTGCACGAGCGTGTGGTACGTTTGGGAAATTCAACAAGAGTGTAATAAGCATCAGAACAAACTCAAAGAAAAGTAAAGCATAGAACCTGGTAAGAAAAATAAACAACAGCGCTTCAATAAGTTTTCCATATTCATAGAAAAAAACACACAATTTAAAATAAAAATAAAAGCATTGCATGGAGAAAAGAAAGTCAATCGAAAAGGATTGTTTTCTACGCACGTCATGTGAGAGATATATATGAACCATTAAGCTTTATTAACCAAACCCCTATCAGCTAATCTACACCAAAATTTGTCTATGTCGAACAACAAAAAGTTGAGATACATCAGAAAGGAAGCACTGTTGATATCTCCGACAAATCTCTATCATGTGGCAAGAATCCTGAGGCATGAAACGGATGTCAAAGCAATCTTTTGAGTAAGAAACAGTCAAACTTCAATGAAGAGTCTTTCAGAGCTCTGATTTCAACAAATTTATAGTTAAACTGACCGACTCGATGAGATGGATCCAATGATACTAAACTTGAGCTAATCTAAGTCAAATCAAATAAAGATTAAGCAAGTAAATTATTGTGAAAGTTTTTCAGACATATGTGGAAGGTCAAACAGATGTCAAATGCGATAAACTTATAGTTAAATCGAACATCTCAATAAAATAAATCTAATGAGCTCAAAATCGTTTAATTCTGACATCGTTAAGATACTCAAATATTCATCAAACGACGTATGACTAAAGAAAGTTCTATTGACCATCTGATCAAAATGGTTTATATTCTTGTATTAATTGCTCATATAACTCCATAAATTGGATTCACCCCTCTCATGAGAGGGAATGAGAGCTTGAAGCCTGAAAGAAGAGCTTGAAGCTTAGAGGAGCTGAAGTTCAACATTACTTCTACAGTCGTCGACCACCGCCGACTGACATCGACCACCGTTGATCATGTCTAGTTGGTTGTTGTCAATCACTATCGGTCGGAGCCCAGTTTTTACAACAAGTTCATTTATGTACCAACGTTGACTCCGAAGAGCGTTCAACTCTTTTCCGCCTAAGGGACGAAAGATTGTACGTGCAATATCCAGTTTATAATGGATTTCTTTAACTGGGTTTGGCTCCGTGGTTTTTTCCCTTTCTGTCGACCATTTCTCGCCCGTGGGACGAATGAATGTACATGTAATATCCATTTTATAGTAGATTTCTTTAGCTAGACTAGGCTTCATAATTTTTTTTCATTTCTGGGGATTTCACATAAAAATTTTTGGTAATTTTACTATTCATTCTCTTTTATTTGAGTGTGTTGAATTCTCATGCAATGCTGAGATAATAAACCATTACTTTAGCACAACGAATTTTCTAGCACGCATCAATTTGTTGTTGTTTGTGAGAAATAACACATTCTCATCATTAAAATACTTATAAGAATTGTTGCATGACCACCAGACACAACACTCACAACAACAGAGCATCCCACTCCACATCCTTCATTTCACAAGACAGCCACGGAGTCAAGGTTATCAGGCCCCCACATCCTCCTACTTCAGAAGACATTACCTCGCTGACAAAGGTGTCTTGAGTCATTCTATGGAAGACCAAGTATAAAAGATAGAGGAGTTTCAACATAAGAACATTCATCTCCTACGCATGGAGCGACAACCGCAACTCAATGAAACTTACTTACCACAAGTTCAACATTAAACAAGCAATACCCAACTCACCAGATTCTCTCATAATGATGAAACAATTACCCTATCGAGACAGAACACTGATCTTCTCGACATTAAAAGTTCCACTCATCCGTTTCATGCCGCTCAACTGGCACCGCCTCGCCGTACTATCGCTTCTGTTGATATCATCTGAGATGAGCGAAGACATCTGTTCGGGAAGAGTTCCCTCTAAATAAAAGGGATAGCTACTCTGCTCACTGCAACTTCCAAGAAACCTCTCCTTTGGCTGATGCGGTTCTCTAACACTCTATCCCAGTGGATTTCAAACTCCCAAACATCGATTTCTATTAAAGGGTACGAGCATGTCGACCACCATCGAACCATCATGGACATTCACCTTGCTTCAGAATACAAGTTAATTTGTGCACTGACGTTGTAACTCTAAAGAGTGTTCAACTCTTTCCCACATGTGAAACGAGAGACTGTACATGTAATATCCACTTTATAGTGAATTTATTCAGCTGGGTAAGGCCCTTGATTTTTTCACTTTCTGAATTTTTAACGTAATAACTTCTAGTGCAACGCTAAGAACATAATCAATTACTCTACCCCCATGAATTTTCTTGCATGCATCGACAGTAAAATTTACACCTATAACTCAGAATCAGAGAAGGTAGAATCAACGAAAACCCCACATTCCATCATCCAAGCTCAAGAATCAATCACCCCACATAACCCGTAAAGGAGAGAAAACCACACAAGACAAACCTTCCGCAAGACTGTTGCCAGCAGACGACAAATCGTGCCTCAGAACAGATGCCCTGCGACGCTTCTCTGTACTCTGTGATCGACGCATCTCTCTTCGTCGCGACACGCGAATCCTTTATCTGGAGCTCGCGAGAAGTAAAAATTAAGTACTGTAGCAGCCAAAGTAACGGGATCAGAGAAAGAGTTCTGCCCGGAGAAGGAAAAAGTGTAAAGATCCGGATTTAAGGAAGTGAAAGGGAGATCTATCAATGGTAGGCAGATGCAATAAATGACGCTGAGAAGCAACCTGCTCACATCCTCTCTCTCCCTCTCCCTCTCGCTGGCCTCACTCCTGGAGTTGAAGCTGCGAGGTATACTGGAAGAAGAGGGGTAGAATTTTGAATTCGAAACGGAGAGGAGGGGAGAATGAGCCGCTTTTCTCGGGTCGGGACTCGGGAGGCTTTTGGCGCACGCGAGGGAGGTGATGGGGTAGTTTGGTAAATTAATGAATAGAGGAGGGTAACGATTTATGGTCGAGGCGTGAAGAAGAAGACAAGTAGGGAGAGAGAGAGAGAGAGAGAGAGAGAGAGAGAGAACGGGGGATGGGGCCCAGTCACGGAAAACGCGGGTGGGGTCGGCTTACGGGGGATTGGGCCCAGTCACGGAAAACGCGGGTGGGGTCGGCTTTTCTTTACGGGAACACGCCTTACGGCGAGGAGTTGCTCGCGTCGTGATGCGAAGTCGGGTGGTTTTATCAATTTCGCGATTTAGTTTTAATTTTGATTTCGTTGTTTAATCTTAGAAAGTATTTTAAAGTACGTATTTAGATTTTTTTTCTAGTTCCGACCATCATGCATACATATCTCAGAGCTAAACTTACATATTTACAAGCAAAGCATCCAATGTGTGTAAGCATGGATTTCAACATTAAATATTATACACTTATGTTACTGATGTGATGCGAAAGAATGGATGTTTTGACGCTAAAAATTATTGTTTTTATGTGAGCTGCATGAATGCATAAAAATTAGGTGTTATGTATGTGATCATGTCAAGAAAATTCACCGCAGCAACAACAATGTAAAGTATTATCATCTAACGTAGAAACCTAGCGCACAATCAGATAGAATTACAAAAATAATTGTGATGCCAGAAGTTTTTGTATCAAGATTTGTGTCATATATTGAGATTCGTGCTAGATGATGGAAATTTGTTTGTGGCGTATCAGTATGTAAATTCGCCCTTTTTTTATATTGACTGGTACATATAATTTGATGGAACCACCACTAATAAAATTATAATAAAATGTTAGAAAAAGTTATTAATACATTACCATAATTTTTTATAAATTAGTAAAATTAAAAGTTTTAAATTTTAACTTTGGAACATTTAAAAATTCATTTTTAAAAATTTGTTATGAAAATATATTTATAAATGAAACAAACTTGAGTATTCATATTAAACTTGAATTTGTTCTAGAATCACACCAAGTTATTATTGCGTTAACAACTATGAAGAAAAGAAGTTGATTCAGGGGAATGGAGCTAGACGAGGATGAGTGAAAGATGATTTGCAAATGATATATTTGGGTCAATCCTACTCCAAGTCTCCAAGTGTGAACGCCTGAATTCTTGTAGCTCTGCCTCTATTGTGATTTACGGGGCCGGGGGAAGTCAATTTTTGACAGAGTCATGAAAGTTTGGATACTATGTTTTTGAATCTCTAGTTTAAAATAGTAGTTTGTCAATGTCTAGTTGTAGGCATTCAGTCTCCGTTGTTTGGTCTCAATCGCTCAGCCTCAGTTCTCATACTTATTAGTGCTTGCAGTCTTTTTTGATTGCCCACTATTTTGAGCTAGTATCACCAGCTCATCTGGAGCGGCTTCCACTGATTGGTAAGTCATGAGCTAGTGTCACTAGCTGACCCCCATTGTCTTTTTTCAACAAATATAGTTAGTCAATATCGCTTGGCCACTTTTATCAACCATTGATCAATATCGATGTCTATCATCCCTCGCTAATCTAACATTCCTTCCATCACATAAGCCTAAATTACAGCTAATAATTTTAAACCCACTTTATCCAATGAAATAAAAGGATAGATTCAATAATTTTTACTCTAAACAGTGATCGTATGCAAAGGACAGTGTGTTAGAAAAATAACATTAAATTTATACTGCAAACGTGCCAACCATAAAAATGAATATGACAAATCATATAATAATGGCTATGATATCAAGGTTGGCTTCAATCAAGCATTTATATTTATATGGGACCACACAACAACAAATGCCTACCAAGCTTCAAAAGAATACATGGAGAGATCCCTTCGTACATTAAAGCATATCACTCTGATGAAGATGGAGGAAGAACGACAAATCATTGTGCTGTTACAATATCTCAAGAGACAACATATTGCCACTTGCTCCTATTGCCGCGATTGAAAGCTTTTGTAATAATTTTCCAACGTAGTTTCTTTATTTATTATTTTGAAATAAACACAATGCACATACATTCACTCAATCATGATGAGACAACTAAATAAATACAAGGTTCTATGTTGAGATTTATAGATATCATTGATGAAAAAACATACAAGGATAAAAATATTTAGATTGATTATATCTATGGCTACTATAATGAGATCATTTAGCAATGCAAATCCATATAAGATTTTAATTAAGAAAAAAAATTTAATTATACTGCACACGCCAAAACTGTTAGCACGAATCTCAAAGCAGTCTGGTGGGTAAGGACAACGACCGGGAACTCAAAGCGACTGACCGAGGAAGCAGGATGTGAACCAGTTGCTCGACGACCGACCGCTCTATCGGTTCGGTAGACCCACACTGTCAAGGGATTCAATCGACAGACCGCGCTTACGTCCCAGTAGCCTAAGCTTCTTTCCGGATCGTTCGATTACAACTAGTCGATGGACCAGCTTTGCCTCGAAAGGAGCGATCACCACACAATTGGTCGCCCCGCCGACCGTCACCGACCACCAAAGTCGGTAGCCACTATCGACCACCATCACCGTTGATCGCCGCAGCATTTGGCCACCACCCGGTAGCCAACACCGGCTCCTCCCGCCCATCGCACGCCGCCGTTTGCTATAAACAATTTTACTTGCATCTATCATAATTATTTTGCGGTTCATTAAGTTTACAAGAAAAGATGATAAATGATTCCCAATATTTATCCAATCTTTTGTCCGATTTTACATATATTGACAAATAATTATAAATAATATTAGCTTTTAAGGACAAAATGTCCGATTTAGAATCAGTCCCCAAACAATTTCCTTATTTAAATTATTAATAGGCTGCCCCCCATGGTCGAGAACACGCAAATAAAAAATTGTGACTTCATAACAATTAGCCAATTAAAATAAGTTTTTATATGGTAAAATGCAGCATATCAAGTATGGGACACGATATGATCCTGACACGGATGAGAGTTAGATAAGATATTTAAATTTTTAAAATTTTTTACTTTTAAGAAAATTATTTCTATCAATATTATTTTAATCCATATTACATAATAAAAAATTGATTTAATATTTCTGTCGGCAGAAGCTACGCCTGTCAAAAAGGGAAAATATTTGCGTAACATAAGATGTACGTAGCTCTGCGTACATCAGGGGTTATTCAGGGGGTACAATGGAGTTCTATCTGGGTTATACCCCCTTGTAACCTCCGGTATAACCCGGATATAACTCCCCTGTACACCCAGAATAACCTCTGATGTACGCAGCGCTGCGTACATCTTATGTACGCAAATATTTCTCGTCAAAAAGGCTCGTTGTCCTCGAACAGCTCGAGTTCGGCTTGTTCACTAAGTTAATAAGTACGAACAACTCGAACAAAGATCGTTCGTATTCAACTCGTTTTGGCTCGAAATACTATTAATATATATATATATTTGATGAGTAGTATTTTTAAAAAACTTAATTAACCACAAGACTATAAAGATTTATAATCAATTATAAATATTAATTAAGAAAATAGAATAAAAATTATTAAATTAGATTCACATTATGTTTTAATATAAACAAAATATTTTAAATCTTGCCCCAATCCTTAACTTCTAATAGCTACCTGATTAAAGTTGTCAAAACGTCTTTTTGTTCTTGAACGGCTTGTGTTCGGCTCACTAAGCAAACGAACCGAACACGAACTCACTTTTTGAGCTCGAAATATAAACGAGCCGAACACGGACCGAGAGTCGTTTACACCCCTAGCAGAAGCAACAATTCTAAAAAAATCTCAAAAAAATGTGGCAATTACATACATAGTACTCAAAATTTTGCTATTTATAAAAATGTATCTTTTTCCATCTTTTTTTTTTTTTAATTCTTACTAAAGTATCAAATTTATAATAAAGCTTCAAGCCATTTTTTCTTATTTTTGAACGTTGCATGTGTAAATAACAAAAGGCCTAGATGTTTGTTTAATTTATAAATAACAAAATTTTGGAAATGCTTGTAAATATCCCCAAAGCAACTTAATATCATTGTTAAGTAATATTAAGGCGCATGACTTAGCCTATGTTCGCAGAGTCAGTACAGCGGCGCTGTCGTGTTGCACTGTCATTTCAAATGTTTGGCAAAAATATATTTTGTCGGCTTATATGCACCATCACCTACATTGAAAATAAAATAAAATTATAATGAAAAATAATTACTTGTGCAATAGTTCCAACAAACCCTTAATTAGAGGATTATTTATATTGATAAAAAATTATAGATAATAAGATCTATGAGAAAATCTAAAATAAGGTTGATGAAATAAATATTTGAGTTTTATTTTATTTTTTCTAATTTTTTTAAATACATAATTGAGCTTAATTGATCGTGTTTTGTATAATATAAGTGGAACAGTACGTACAAAATGCCCGAATCATACCCCCAAAATGTCAGATATAGTTTTAACTTTCTAAAACTGAACACATTACATGCATATATATATATATATATATATAATCTATGAGAAAATCTAAAATAAGGTTGATGAAATAAATATTTGAGTTTTATTTTATTTTATTTTATTTTTTCTAAATTTTTTAAATACATAATTGAGCTTAATTGATCGTGTTTTGTATAATATAAGTGGAACAGTACGTACAAAATGCCCGAATCATACCCCCAAAATGTCAGATATAGTTTTAACTTTCTAAAACTGAACACATTACATGCATATATATGGTTATTATACGAGTCTTCAGTCATTTCTAATGTATACAATTCGAGTAGCAGCTCCTTAAGGTCAATTGTGTCTGAGATGATTCAAACTCCAAACCTGAGAGGTCTTATGTCATGTATATCAACCAACAGACCGGACTACATGACGCGCGCGCACACACACAAATTTATATATGACATAAAGCACTCTAATGTACTTAAAATAATATTAGAATATCCCATAAAAATTTGCCTAAAATAATTTATCTTAACACACGCTGAA